AGAAAGCTAAACATTAAAAACAATATGGGGCTTGATTCCTTTTCCATTCTTTTCTGCCGTCGTTCTTTTCAAACACCGATCGCCATGTCCCGAGAAAGAAGGATCCCTGGAAAGAATGGGGAAGTTACCACTCTTTCTATAGAGACCCCAGATGAAGCTCTGGTGCTAAATAGCCGGCATTTGAAGAATGTTGGGAGAAACAAACTGATACTGTGATGTTGTGCCTTTTGGCTTCTCATGGTTGCCCGCTGCAAACAGATGTGCACCCGGTTGGGATCGGCTGGATTCGACCGGCCATTTTGCGCCGTTTGATTGGATACAAGTGCTTTGCCCACCATTTTTAAATTGGAAGCTTGCGGGTTTCTGTCAAAATTATTCAAGCAAGTAAGACAAGCAGAGTGAAAAGAGGGGGGCTTCCGCAAAAACACCCCTGATTTACGCAGTGTGTGGTTAGGGACCGTTCAAAAAGCAAGCACAAATCGGGGGGGAAGAATGGGCCCTCTCCTGGTTTGGTGCAGCATACTTGGGCCCTTGTAAATGTGCATTTTTCGTGCTGTTTGGGCCAAAGGCTCCTTTTGGTGCAAACGACACATTTGTTTGTCTCATGCATTTTTGCGAATTCTGCTGCTTTTTCGAAACCAGGATGAGGACGAAAGGCGACTTTGCCCGACCCAAAGGCGACATTCCCCGACCAAGAAGCGATATTTGCCGACCACGTTCTGGCCAGATTTTGACGCAGCACTTTACAAAACAAAGGTTCTTTTTGAAGCAAACGACGCAGCATCTTGTTTTTGCAGCAAGCGGCAGAAGAGCTGCACACCTGGGGGTCTCTGTGTAGAAGGCCCCGAGAGAAAATGGGAACCTCCGCAAATCGGTTTGCTTCTTTTGGCGTCCTTTCAAGGCAACCCTAACAAAAATTGGGCCCCCTCAAAACACCCGCCCATAGAAACGGATATAAACGGAGCTCTCTTGACCCAGGTGATTCAGAAGATCTTGCAGACGGAGGTTCGGACAAAGCAGCTGACCACCATCACGATTGCCCACCGCAGCTCGGCGCCTTTCGCGAGGGTTGCAAGCGTTGCAAGCGTTGCACCTCCAGAGGCTCTTGGTGGGGTGATCTGTGAGGAGCGGGCCCCGGCTTTGCATTTGTTTTATCTTTTGGAGGGGAAAGCCAAGCTCGTTTTTTTGTCCCGGACATGCAGTAGATAGTGGCCCCCCCCCCTGTGGCTACAACAGCGGAGGAGCACTTCGCAGAAAGTTTTGTGGAACCTGTGTATCATGGCTATATGTCTATATATGTCTTGGTCGTTGCCTTTGACCTTTCATATGATAACCATTCTGAAATGGTCTAACTACCTTGAATTGCGGGTTCCTCGATTGGTTCCTGGTCTATGTTCTGGCGATTCGTTCTCAAGAGTCCCCTTGGGCAATGGCCATGGTCTCCAGGGAAAATCCGGGAGATTAAACGAAGACACCCAGTGGGTTGTTTCTTTTTTCGGAGGGGCCTTAAACTTCAACTGCCAGACAAAAGCTCCCGTCTTTTCCAGCGTCCACGGGGGGTCTGGGTGAACCAATAAGCAAATCCAGAGTTTTTGCCCTTGGTTCACTAAATGGTTTTTCTTCTTTCACCTTTCAATGTGGAATATAATCTAAAACAGGTTTCATTTGCGTTGACAAAGCCTGACGTTTCTGGTTGCAACTGGCTTTTTGTTGCGGCCCAGGTGGCCCAAGGTCAATCCCGGGGTCTGCTTGCCTTCCTTGGAGTCTGGGCCTCTCCCTAGGAGTGGGTAGGGGTCAAAATGAATCCAGCACAAAATACCCGGGTTCCACTTGTACCTATTTTTGCCCACCCAGGACTTGAGACTGGTTGTTCCCCTCGGTTTCCCTTCGATCTACCTTACACCCCAGACATTCCAGAGACCAGGTATCGACACGGTCCTGGGCGGGGACCGCGTGCTGGTCCTCAGCGACGGCATCCTCGGCTTCGAACTGCTTAAACGGCTGGGTCTTTGAATAGGGGAACCCCCAAAAATTCTAGGGGTAGCTTCCCCATTCTTTCCACGGATCCTTCTTTCTAGAAAACCACCAAAAACCCTGGGGAAATGGCTGAACAGAATGGGGAATCAACCCCTTGAAAAATGGATGTCAGCGTAGAGGTTGACCAAAAAAGCGGTGTCCTTTGACTTGACATGGCTGCCAAATAGCGCAGCATTTCATGAGTTCCACTAAAGGACACCACACGGATATCGAGAACAGCCGGGCAGAGATCACTTCTTTGCCTATGGTTCAACATCTAGGTTTCCCTGTGCTTCAACCCGGAACCTTTCCTCTTGATTCAGTTTAGTCGTTCACTCGTGACGTGTAGATCCATTGGTTAAATCATTAGCTCTATTTATTTGTTGATGTTTGTTAAGTGATTTTGACGTCCGACTCTTCGACCTTTTAAGTCGGTTTAATTCTTCAAACCTTTGAACTCCTTGAGTTCAACCGCCAAGAAAAAATCGTGACGCTCCTTTTGAGACCAGCCTTTTTTGTTGCCCACCCCGCAAGACAGAAATCCGTGACGCTCTGTTTTTTTTATGGCTTCGATCTTGAGGCAAGGTGGCGGAGTTCGGGCGCACCCAGGAGCTTGCGAAGGACCCCAAGTCCGTGTTCTACACCTTTCTCAGCACCTTGGGTTCAGCTCTGTGACGTTTTAATTACCGCCGCCGTTTTGTTTTGTTTGTTTGGTGGATTCCCAAACACTGGCCCAAAGCGAATCGACCAATTTGGACCTGTTGGTTTCCCCTTGTTGGTCCATCTTAGTGGCCACAGAAAGGGTACCCTTTTATTTCCGGGTCCTTTGGCAACTGAGTTCAACGAAAAACGAATCGACCCTTGCCAACTTGTTCAGCTGGCCAAGAAATATTGTTCTGGAGGGATCTTTGCGTTATTTCCGGGGGGGGTAGGCGAAATTGTGTGTGTGTGTGTGTTTCAGTATGTAGCTGTGTGTGTGTGTGTTTTTAAGGTTGGCGTAAAGGGAGCCAACAGGACAACTGCCACTTTGGGGTTGCCCCCCTCCCTATGTTGGCATGCGCATATTCTGAACATCACCTTCGACCATTTCCAAGTGTGCTCTCACATACTCCCCTTTCTTAGGAAAACTCACGCGCCTTGTTTGTCCTAGTTTTATGAAGGTACATATTTCCATTGTTGGGGTGATGCTTCAAAAGGCATGAAAGAAACCTGCCTTGAAACCGTTGCTCAGTGTTTGAAAGCTACCCGGCTTACAATCCGAATCGAAAAGGGGGGTCAAACACAGGTGAGTGCTTTCAAATTTATATCATGTGGCTTCTCTTATTTCTTTAGATCCTTACTTGGCTCGCGGTGTGACCAACACAAGCCTTTGAAACCTGTGGGCAATGACAGTTTTCCCACAAACAGGGGATTGTAAACTTTCTCCAAGCTTGAAGTCATGTGTTATCAGGTATCGGTATCTTTGCCATGTTGCTGTTTAACAGTTGTTTTTTTGTACAGAAGGCTGGTTGCAAAGTATAGGGAAACCAACCTCTGGAGATTCCCAGTGTTCGAAGTTCGAAATGATCAAGGTCTGTTTGTCGGACCCCCCCTGTTTTCTTATTGAATCATGTTCTTGCAAGCATGTTCAGGAAGATCTGGAATGTTGGGCTCCGAGTTGATTGTTTACCCCCTGTTGTGAGCTTCCTTGGCTGAAGCAGCCACAAAGGGGTGTCCTTGTCAGCGGCGTTTGCCCAGGCTCCAAGGACAAGGAAGAGCATTGACCCAACGGGCCCTCGCCCCTTGGGGTCAATCGTTTCGCGAAAGCACGGATTTCATTCAGTGGCAGCTGCCAGGCTTAGGATCCATAAATGGGTCACCATCGATCTCCAAGCAGCAGCCTTTTGTTTGCCGACTTCAATCTGAACACAGCTGCGGGGAAAAGGATGGAAAAGGCTGCCATTGGCGATCCGTCGGCTGTTTCCCAGCTTCCGCTTTTGAAGGAGCGATTCATTAGGCGTTTAGTGCAGCGGCCAGGTGCCAGACAATTGGGATCCATAAACGACTTGGCTTCACTATCGGACGATTATCGCGGTTGGTAGTTTGTTTCAACCATGATGGATGACATGTTCGTTGGATCGCATATTTATGGATCCATTTGTACGGGTCCTCGACTCGATGGGATGCGTCAATTGCGAGCCTTTCGGGGACGGGAGCCAACAGCAACCCAAGAAGGGCCGTAGTTTTGACCCCCAGTGGAATCGCGGGTACAAAGTCTACCCTCGCACGTGCACCGTGTGAAAAAGAAGAAAAAAAACGCTAGCCGCTTTTAGCCGCGCGACAGATGGGAGAAGCGAGGTCGCCAGACTCTGGGCCCGCGGGGTACACCTTCGTTTTTTTTTTTTTTTTTTTTTTAAGTTGCAACAACCGGCCCCCTTGCCTCCCCCCAGCGAAGCCACCACCCCCAGAAAGAAGAGAGAGAAAAAGAGGGAGGGAGGGAGGGAGGGAGGGAGGGAGGGAGGGAGGGAGGGAGGGAGGGAGGGAGACAAAGATAGAATCACACAATGCCCCAGAACACCACCCCGCAAACGATTTTCCCAGTGAGGGGTCTCCTGTTCAGACTTTCCCACTAAAATTGGTCAACCCCTAAAAATTTGTTTTTTGGGTACCCCAAAAGAGTTGCAAAGGGAGATTCGATTTTCCTCGGAAAGTCTCCATCTTTTTCGGCAGACGGGTCCCTCCTTCCAAAACAGCCACCGTAAATCTGCCAATCCGCCTACCTGGCAAGCGCTAAAACGAGGGAGCCAAGATGTCCGGGTTTCCGGGGTCCGATTCTGACTCCAGGTGTTGCCAGCTCGCACATCATTGGAGCCTCCATTGGGGTCGGGACCTCCATTAGCCATGGGACTTTTGGAATGGCAACCATTTCGAAGTAGACTTCACAGATCTGTTGGGTAAAAGCGGTCAACTCAATGGGTGGCTTGTGGGAGATGTCGATTTTCCAGGCGCTTTGGTGTCCACCGCCCTGGACCCCAACAAGACCTACCCGAGCCTTTCCACGGCGCAGCACGAGGGAGTGGCAGCGCTGCTGTCCATTCGCGCAGGCCAGCGTTTAGTGAATTCCAGCCGTTGACCAAAACTGGGAAAAGCAAAGCCAGTTGGCTGTGGGTCAAGACCAATGGGATCCCATTTTGTGTTTCGAGCATCTTTGAACCGGGGCTCAGCCTAAAGCTGCATTTCGGCTTTTTTTGTCCCAAGGGTGACCGGGCTTCAGTTTTTGCACCGGGAAGGCCAACCAAGCATTTCTCAGCTCGTCCAAAGCGGATGACCAGACCAGACCTTCGGCTTGCCCCATTTACCAAGCAAAGTCTGCCCGGAGAGCCCAGAGCCTCGTTCAGCGCGGTGATTTTAGAGGAAAGACTCCGAGAGCTTTCTAGACAGACCCCGTGGCATTCCACAATGGCTGAACACCACGAGCAATCTGAAGCACATACTTTGGGTATGTTGCTCGCACTTCTTCAGCCTGGGTTTTGCTCCTAGTGTGTCTGGGATTTTCAGGGGTTAGAGCAGCTAGCAAAGCCAGAAACACGCCGTGGTCCAGGACACTTGCTTCAACAAGCAGGGAAGAAAGCTGGTATGGCATGGCACGTATGGACCATGAAAGCGATTCTTAAGATTCATGCAGTGACTCCTACCATAAGACTGCTTCACCTATAGAAGTGCCCCAAAATCAACCCTGTAGGGAAAAGTTACTTGCCTTGCCCGGCAGGTAACATATTTCCGAAAAGCAACAATTCATATGACTGTGGGACGCTGGTTCCTCAGCGAGTAAAGTCATGTAAATAATGCCGATGCTTGGAGGTTTGAGACGTCCACCGTCTCGAACTAAGTTTGAATTTGTAGACCATATGCTAGTACCCGTACTCCTTTCCGCGTCCATGCCTCTTTAGGCACTCGGCCAATTTGTTCTTGTGTTTCTGACTTTTTTTGGCAGGGGTTTTTCACCCGTGACCCTTTGGAGTCGGGTCGGGAGGGCTCCACTGAGGATTGCCATGAGTCATGTCTCACGTTTTGGCATCTAATCGTTTTATATGGTTTGCCTACGATGGCGACCGATTTTTTTTTCCGGTGCTGACAGGATCCGAAGGAACACGGAATTGTACCCAGCTTCTCAGACTGTTCAGAGTTCCAGCATAGTGGGCTGCTTCCTTTTCCATTTGGGGGGGTACCAAGTGGATAACAAAAATGCCGTGGCACTTTCCCGGCGGAAATCTGAAGGGTAGCTCCTTGATTTCTCACGGAAACTGTAGAGCCTGGGGCTTTTGGACCATTTTTCCGATCTTCGGAATGGGAACCACCTGCCCAGGCTCGAACGTAGAGCCTGGCCCCCTTTAGGACGCAGAGGGATAGCTTAGAGTGAAGAACTTGGTAGAAGGAGGGTCATTTGGATGTACAAATAGGTCCTGTTGCATGGCTGGTCCCACTTGACGAGGGAACTTCATAATTACCCAGAGGAGGAAGCCAGAAGTTTTGACATATATCCTGCGAAGGTGTCGAGATGCCCACTGGAATGCCTGGCTTTGCGTATCACTTCTTCCGTGGCCAGCTTTCGCACAGGCGACTCCCTAGGCTTCGCAGAGGTTAAGGACCTCAAAGAGCCCATCCTCTTCGCGTTGGTGGTGGATGTAAACAGAGCCCCATGGCAGAAATCTTGGTGGTTCCCAGCCATCCCATTAGGTTTGTAGCTTTTTGGGGTTTTCCATTTAACCCGCTTTTTGGGGATCAGAAAACGGAGAGCCCAGAAATCAGTGAGACCAGGGAGTCCATCAGAAGGCGCGGCATGGCCTCAGTACCCCCAGGCCGGGGTTCAGGGATTCTCCATAGATGCAGGGGCCATGACAGGTCCAGCTATGGCTCTCCAATTTTTTAGGCGGTTCTACCTGCTACTCTTCGAGCCAAGTTTGCAGTTCGATGCAGTTCGACTTTTTGGGCTACTGGCGCACGACTCAAAAACCGCCAAAGCTGTGCCCCGCAAGCGCGAAAAGGAGTCACTTCCTTGATGACCGCAGAAGGCCAGGCAGGGCGGCTCCTGTGCAAATTGACTTGCTTTTCTTAGCGCGATTCCTCCATGATGTTGTTGTTAGGGTCTGCTGTCCATTGCAGTTTCATCGCTTATCATAGCTTCGTTTAAACGGTGTTCTATCATTGTGCCCTGAGAGACGCATGACAAGGTTTGGGTTGCAGGACATGGGTGGTTTCTAGCCTCGCATGGGCTTCTTTTTTGGACGAACTGCCTCTAGGTCCCCCAGTAGTGCTTTTTACCTCTTTTTTGGGGCGAAATTCCCCTACTAAAATATAGACTACAGACAAAATCGGGTTCCCTTATTCTCACCTCTCTACTGGAGGACGAACTGCCTGATTGCTTGCATTCTTTTAGTGCACAGCTTGAGCCCAGATCGCCCCTTGAGAGCCCGCCGACCCAAGTCACGGCTGCCAGCTAAGGAAGCCCGATGTGCATACTGGGACGTGGAGGAGCAGAGATGGTCGCATGGAAGCGGATCACATGTTGGCTTGGATTCCTCCCTAGGTCAAAAGCACGAGTCGGACCCGTTTTGGGTGTGTCCTTCTTTTTGTCGGAGGGGTTAAAGGTTAAAGGGAAACCAAACGGAACACCATCTTTCTTCTTGATAAAAACAAGGGGCCGCTGAAACCAGACACGCCCTGCAACTGGCAACAGGACTGGATCGAAGGGATGCATGATGCACATGCCAAAAACCATCCTCACGAGGATGCTGTTGTGCAAAGCAGGTGGTTCTTAGATGTAAACCTTTGTTGTTGTAAAAGGTCTTTCTGCAATTATAAAAGTGCTCTAAAAGCTCTTCAGGTTAAGACTTAGTTGGACCTGGCCATGCTGAAATTCCTGGAATTTCTTGTGGGGGGGGGGGTAGGGGCGTCAGATTAAATGCAGTGCACCCAACAGGTTTACAGGTTTAAAGGTGTTTCCCTCAATGTGACCTGCTGACTGCTTTGCAACTTCTTCATGAGCAACCTCAACTTCATCGTGACTCAGAAGATGAGTTTGGCCCTTGACATCAGCACTGTATGAAGTGCTGTCCACTGCAAAGTGGTTATCTCACAAGCACTGCATGAAGTGCTTTTCCGCTGTAAGAAGCGGCATGTTCAACATGTCATGTTGTGGCTTTAGGTTGTTTAGCACTTCCACCCTTTGGGACGCCTTCAGGCTCATGTTCAATCCATCTGTTTTCCAAGATGAATGAATTTTGAGATAGACAGAAATTCAATCCATTTGGTTTTCATGGATGCTTGATTTTTGCGATATCTTGAAATTCAAACCCATTTCATTTTCATGATGTTTGAATTTCGGGGCATCTTAACAATCCATTTGGCTTTCATGATGTTGGGATTTTGAGACATCTTGAAACTCAATCCATTTGGTTTTCATGATGCTTGAATCCTGAGGTATCTTGAAACTCAATCCATGTGGTTGTCATGATGATTGAATCTTGAGATATACTGAAACTCAAACCCATTTGGCTTTCATGATGCTTGATTTTTTTGATATCTTGAAACTCACTCAACCAGTTTGGTTTTCATGATGTTTGAATTTTGACATATCTTGAAACTCAAATCCGTTTGGGTTTCATGATTGTTGAATTTTGATAAATCTTGAAACCCACAACTTGTTGCAATCTTTCTGTGTTGAGCAGCGGGCCTGTCAGCGAGGCTCTAACTGCAGTGTACCCACTGTACACTCTAGGCTTAGAGTTTAGCAGGCTGCCCGCGCACATGCTTCTTCAGGAAAGCAAGGGACAAGCTTCAAGCTGAGTTTCCCAGAAACAGGTTTGAAGTTGTTCCTAGTGCGACCTGGACTATCAGCTTTGCAGTCTCCTGGGCTACTCCATCATCATCGTGACTCAGGAGATCAGTTTGGCCCTTGACATCAGCACTGTGTAAAGTGCTGTCCACTGCAAAGTGGTTATCTCACAAGCGCTGCATGAAGTGCTTTTCCGCTGTAAGAAGCGGCATGTTCAACATGTCACACGGCGGCCCTAGGTTTGTTCAGCACATCGCCCCTGTGAGACCCCTTTGCCTTCATGTTCAATCCACATTGTGTTCCTGATGTTTGAGTTTTGAGATCTTGAGGCCTACAACTTGTTTCAAGCTTTCATGTGATGAGCAGCGGGCATGTCAGTGAGGCTCTGAGTTTAACTGTAGTAGTGTACCCACTGCGCACTCTATGCTTAGAATTGTTATGCTTTAGCAGGCTGCCCGCCATGCCTCTTGCAGAAGAATAAGGGGCCCATTTGCAAATGAAGTTCCCAACAACAAGTTTGAATTTGCCCCCAGTGTGAGCGGGCTATCAGCTCTGCAGCTTCCTGGGCTACTTCATCATCATGACTCAGATGATCAGTTTGGGCCTCAAAATTCAATCAGCACGACCAAAAATGGCTCTGACTCAGAGTGTCAATGTGATAGGGAAAGCACTTCATACAGTGCTTCAAAAGATAGCCACTTTGCAGTGGACAGCGCTTCGCACAGTGCTGATGCCAAGGACCAGGCCACAACTTGTTTCAAACTTTCTGTGATGAACAGTGGGCGTGTCAGCATGTCTTACCAGCTTGCTGAACTATGCTCTCAAGGTGCTCTCCCACATGCCTCTTCCAGAAGGGCAAGGCGCGAAATTAGAAACTCAGCCTGAGCCTGGCATTCTTCAAAATCAAATTTGAAGGTGCTTCCCCCAGCGCAACCGGAACTACCACTTCGTTCCGGGGCAAGGAGTTTGGTCCTCAGCATCAGCGCTGCATCATAGCATCAGCACTGTGTGAAGCGCTGTCCACTGCAAAGTGGTTAGCTCCACAAGCACTGCACAAAGAGCTTTCTGCTGCTGTGAGAAGCAGTGAGTTGAACATGACATGTTGTGGCCCAGGTTTGTTCAGCACAGCGGCATTTTTGAGAACCCTTCAGTTTCAACTCTCATCCAATCCATTTTGTTTTGAAAACTGTGACCTACAACTTGTTTCAAATTGTCCGAGATGAGCTCTTCCAGAGGGGCAAGAGCTCATAATTCGGAACTGAGCCTGACATTTCTCGAACAAATGCATTTGCAGGCACTTCCCCTCTTTCCGGGGCGATGAGTTTGGTCCTCAGCATCAGCGCTGCATCATAGCATCAGCGCTGTAGTTCAACAAGCACTGTGTGAAGTGCTTACTGCTGTGAGAACAGTGAGTTCAACATGACATGAACTTTCTGTGATGAGCAGTGGGTGTGGCAGCATTTCTTACCAGCAAGGTTCTGTCAGCTTGGCCGAGCTATGCTTTAGCAGGCACTCTCCCACGCGACTCTTCCAGAAAGGCCTGACATTACTCGAAAAATACACATTTGCAGGTGCCTTCGCCAAAACCCGTTTGGTCCCCAGCATCAGCGCTGCATCATAGCATCAGCACTGTGTGAAGTGCTGTCCACTGCAAAGTGGTTAGCTCCACAAGCACTGCACGAAGCGCTTTCTGCTGCTGTGAGAAGCAGTGAGTTGAACATGACATGCTGTGATCCTAGGTTTGTTCAGCACAGCGCCATTTTTTGAGAACCCTTCAGTTTCATGTCCAATCCATTTTGTTTTCATGATGATTGAATTTGAGGCCTTGAAGCCTACAGCAGCACTGTTTGAAACTTTCTGTGGTGAGCAGCGGGTGTGTCCAGCAAGGGTTTACCAGCTGGGCCAGTGCACTCTAGGCATGGACAAGGACACTAGTTAAAACTTAGCCGCACAACAAGTATAAGATTTGAAAGTGCTTCCTTCAGTGCAACCTGATCTGCTTGCTCTTGAAGATTCCTCCTGGAGAGCCTCTGCTTCATGATGTCAGTTTGGTCCTTGGCATCAGCACTGCATGAAGTGCTGCCCACTGCAAAGTGGCAGGGCTAATCAGCACTGCGTGAAGTGCTCTACTGTTCAACTGTCATGAAGAGAAAGTGACCCAGTGCCATCAACTGATGCTCAACAATCAAAACTTGTTTGCAAGATGCTACCCACAATCTGATTTGGGGAAAAGCTGCTTCAACCTGACCCCCTCTCACAGTGTGTCACACAGCACATGTTCATAGCTGTCACTGTCACAATACGAAGGCCACAGCCCATGAAATGCTTGACAAAGCCAAAAGCCACATTGAAAAAGCTAGCCCTCCCCACCAAGCTTGAAGCGCAAGCCAAGGCTGCCCCTGTCCTGGTCCTCCACAACCAACACCAGAGGAGTCAGAGCCTCGGATGGCACGGTCATGCATCAGGTTGGAGTTTGCAGCCAGCTGTTTGCAGCAAGTTGTCACAAATGTCTCTGCAACAGGTGGCTCACACATGAAGCATTTTTTGGACATCATAGCTTTTCAATGACATGTTCAATGTTGCGAAATTGGTTCACAAACTGTAGGTGACAGACTTCAAGAAAGGCAGTCAATGGGGCCCTGCAACAAACACTCTGTCAGATGCGGTGCAAGTGTACAGTGTACAACCAACACAGACATTCAAAAGCACGCCTGCCATTCAGTGAGCACACGGAGTTTCTCAGCCATGGGAGGGAAACAAGGAGGAAAAGGCAAAGGCAAAAACAGCCATGAGATTTCGGACTCTGAGTCGGAGTCGGAGGATGAAAGCAAGGGCAAAGGAGGCAAAGGAGGCAAAGGAGGCAAAGGAGGCAAAGGAGGCAAAGCAGGAGAGAAAGGAGGCAAAGCAGGAGAGAAAGGATGCAAAGCAGGAGAGAAAGGAGGCAAAGCAGGAGAGAAAGGAGGCAAAGGAGACAAAGGAGACAAAGGAGACAAAGCAGACAAAGGAGACAAAGGAGGCAAAGGAGACAAAGGAGACAAAGGAGACAAAGGAGACAAAGGAGACAAAGGAGGCAAAGGAGACAAAGGAGACAAAGGAGACAAAGGAGGCAAAGGGCACTCAGCACGGCCAAAGTCACCTGCACACCCGCCACCACCAAAGGCCACCAACAAGCCAGCTCCCAAGCAACGCCCTCCACACTCTGTAGATCTGGCAGCACATCCAAAGCCTCCCACACAACAGCCGCCACACGCACCGCAGCCAGCAGGTCGCAACCCAGGCCCAGCGCCAGCCACCGCCACGGCAGTGCCTGCCACAAGTGGCGGTCATCATGCTGCCCCACACCCGCCGCAGCCAGATGCCACAAGTGGCCACCATGCTGCCCCACACCCAACGGAGCCAGGCGCAGGTCACCCAGCGCCTGGCACGGGTGCCCTACCGCCCGGAAAGGCTGCAGCCTTTCCGGGTGCCCCGGAGCCCTTCCCACCGCAGCTGCCAGTCATGGGGCCAGCCGACTTCATGAGTCAGTATGTTGCCGCCGGCTGCCCCGGCTTTCTTGCACCCTGCCCACAGCCTGCGATGCCGATGCCCATGGCGCCACCGCCCATGATGAACCCCATGATGATGATGGGGCCAGGCGCAACATCCCCCACGCAGCCGTTCATCACCACACCGCAGTGGTCCGTGCCAAACATGGCAGCTCCCCCGAAC